CATTTGTAAGGCTTCTCTCCACTATGGACTAACTCATGTTTAATAAAAGATGAACGGCAATTAAAGGCTCTACTGCAGTCTCTACATTTGTAAGGATTCCCTCCAGTATGAATTCTCTCATGTCCAGTAAGATTTGAACGCCGAAGAAAGGTTTTGTCACATTCTCTATATTTGTAAGCCTTCACTCCAGTATGAATATTCCTATGATCGTTGAGACTGGATAATCGACTAAAGACTCTCCCACACGGAACACATTTGTAAGCTTCCTCCCCAGGATGAATATTCTCATGTTCAGTAAAATATACTGATTGCTTCAAAGACTCGTCATATTCGCTACAATTGTTTGACTTCTCTACAGTATAACAATTCTGATGTGTAAGATTGGAGCTTTCATGAAAGACTTTCCCATGTGTACACTGGTTCTTTACAAACTGAAATCTCTGATGCTTATTAGGATCTGACCCTTCTTTAAAGTTTTTCCAAGATTCACTGAATTGGTAACTTGTCTCATCATCACACGTACTCTGGTAATCAACAAAGACAGAAAGGCCTTCAGTGAGGACTCTAATTTCATTAAACAGGTAAAGTTTTCCCCCATTACCCATGATTATCTATGGAACAATGATGCTTCTATAAATAGCCTCCCAAATTTATGAAAATTACAGAATTTGGAACAAAGAGGGATTGTTTCTTGGTGAAAGAATAATAAAAGCCTGGTTAAGCGATTGTAAAATTGATCACATTTACAATTTCTATGTTCATTTTTAAATCTCTGATTTTTAAATGCTTGAGTTTAATTTACTCCTACATTTTAAATAACTCAAATGATTTTACACCATGAATTACATAACTTCCCATATATGCTGCATTTCCTTTAAAAGAATAATCTTTAATAAATTGTTTTCTATCTTTATATTCAGAAATAAGTGTAGTGCTAATGAAACTGCCTTAACATGCAGGGTTTCACATTTCTTATATATTTGTATCTTTAAGCAATGGGGATTTTACCTCAGTAACTGTCCCAGTTTTGTTATGTCCACAATAACATCCTTCAGCCCTTCACACTCCCTCATATTCCCACTCGTTCATTAAGTGCAGATTGTCAAGGCCGCACCTTCCATATCTTACCAGTAGCATTTTGTGGAATGAATCTTCTATTCCTGGGTTTGGAAACAAGTCCAAGGTGTTCTCAGAAGAAATAGCTGAAAGACACCCAATAAATTATCACTCTTACTACACGCAAGTGAATATACTTTCAATTCTAACATACAAATTTAATATCGATTACAGGACTGAACAAGACGGCATAAGAGGGAACACCAAAATTGCCATCCTCCATGGAGACATGAACTTAGCAACAATTACTGACACAATTAGCTTTGTTTGTACTCAGAAACCTTGTTGAGGACAACAAAGCACATAAAAGAGTCACATCAAAGAGGGAAGAAAAGTTGCTTACATTTGCCAACATTACTGTGCACCCTCCCTGGCACACATGGCAATGTTGTGAGAAAACCCCAATTGACAGTTTCTTCTCCAGAGAAACAAAGATGAGTGAACTTCTTGTCCAATGGACTCGCTTTTTGCAGCTACCTGAAGGTCTCATTTATCTTCTGCATGACACCAAGTGCTAAGGAAATGGCAGTGCAATGTGAATGCATTGTGGTGGCCACTAAGGAAAATGGTAAGTAATTTTTCAAACACCACAAAGAGCACAGTACTGAAGACAATCATCACGGATAGGACTATAACACTGCCCCTAAAAAGGAAACTAATAACATTTCAAACCGGAAAATTACGTGCAAAAACCACAGAGAGTACACATTCATAGAACCGGTTTGATAGGCATAAGAACTTCAAGCTCAGCTGCCTGCTATGTGTGTTCGCTAGTATAAAGCAGGTCCACACAGCCTGGGATGGTGGCTGTTTCTTCTTCAAAGCCTCAACAAAACATCACAAGACATACAAAAAAAAACCCCCAAAAAAACATGGTCCAATTAGAGGAAAAACTAAATCTTGAGAAATAAGCCCAAAACTAATACAGCTATTAATTACCTAACCAAGAATTCAAAATACACTGTCATACCTTTAAAAATGTTTTGGGACGACCTAGTAGCTCAATGAGTTAGGAGCCTGCTCAAGATTGCGAGCTCTGAGCAACTGGGTTGCTGGTTTGACTCCCATATGGGCCAGTGATGCTGAGCTGCCACTGAGCTCCCAACAGATGGCAGAATGGCTCAGCTGGTGAGAGCACGTACTCCTAACAATAAGACTGCCTGTTTAATGGTGGGCACGTCCGCCTGCAACTAAGACTGAACTTGGAAACTTGAGTTGAGCTGCCACCCAGATGGCTCAGTGAATAGAGCGTGCGCTCTTAACAAGACTGCTGGTTGACTCCTGCATGAGATACTGGCTACACCCACCCGCAACTAAGACTGAACTGGACACCTTGAGCTTAGAGGCCACGAGCTGCTTACGAGCAGCCAGATGGCGACTGGTGCTCGCCACAACTAAGATTAAAGAACAACATGCTTGACCCCCTCCCCAATTCCACAACACTATTCCCCTCCTCCAATTCCCCAATTAAAAAAAAAAGTTTTAAGTTACCTCTATGGTAACCACAATAAAGTACCTATAACAGACACACTGAAAGACATTGAGAAAGAAATCAAAGCAGGCAACTACCAACAGAAATCAAAGAAACAACAGAACACAGTTCAGAGGTGGGAACGTGGAACAAAATAGCAACACAAATCACAGAAAATAATTCAAAAATAGTTATATTATTCCCTCCGACTCAGTGATTACTTTAAATGAAAACAGATGAAACTCCCTGAATCTAAAGACATGAGTTGGCTGAACAGATTAAAAAAAAATAAAATCCAACTACCTTCTTTGTACAAGATACTCGCTTGAGATAAGGGGACACTCATGGGATGGAAGTCAAACAATGGAAATGTATTCCATAGAAACGGTCACCAATAAAGAGCACAGTTGCCCATAATGATAACAGACAAATACAGAGTAAGGATCAAAACATATCAGAACACAAAGAAGGACATTATATAATGATAATAAAGTAAATTCAACAGAAAGATATAATAATTATATTTATGCAAAAAGTGGGGTAGCCAAAAACAATATGGAACTTCCTCAAAAAATGATAAACCCAACTATAATATGACCCAGCAATTCCACTTCTGGGCATTATCCAGAGCAGGGGTCGGCAAACAGCGGCTCGCGAGCCACATGCTGCTCTTTGGGTACATACACGTGGCTTGGAAGTAAAATTGAAAATGAAAACTATGTTTCATTTATAAATTTTTTCTTGAGTCTAGTTGTGTAGGACATTGCTTCACTGGCCCATGTTGGCATTATCACTGCGCTCTTCCCGGGTGAGGCAGTCACTCACCAGCCATTCAACAGCCGCCCACGGCGATTCATGGCAGCTGATGGCAGCTCTTGCTAGCTGCAGGCCAGCCCCATTGCAGCCTATGCTGAGGCCAGCAACTCACGGCAGCCCAGATCCAGGTCGATCTGTTGTTCACCATCTTAGCTGTAGAGGGCGCAGTGTCATTGGCCCTCATGTGGGATCGAAACCGGGGCCGCATTGCTCAGAGCTGGCGTTCCAAGCCAACTCCTAACCAACGCACCACTCAGCAAGCCCTATAAAATATTTAAAGGATATTATTCACATAATGGTGATTTCATTTGTTTTATGGCTCTCAAATAATTTTTAAATTGTTGTGAGGGACAGGATTGGCTCTTCTCAAAAGTTTGCTGACCCCTATTCGAGAATACAAAAACAATAATTCAAAAAAATACCTGTATTCTTACATCCACTGCAACATTATTTACAACAGACAAGATATATATGCCCATCATATATCAATGGATAAATACGTGATAAATGTACACAATGGAATATTTCTCAGTCAGAGGAAAAACGGAAATCCTGCCAGTGGCAGCATCTATCATGGACCTAGAGGATATTATGCTAAGTGAGATAACACAGAAAAAGACTAATGCCATACGATTTCACTGATACGAAGAAGCTAAAAAATAGAAACGAAAAAACAAATCAGAAAAAGACAGATACAGAGAATTAACTGATGGTTACCAGAGAAGACAGGGCCATGGGGAAAGGCAAAAAACGTGAAGTAAGGCACGGGATGTAACGTAGCCTAGGATATATACTCAACGATATTGTGATGCCTTGTAAGGTGAAAGATGTTACTTGAGTCATATGGTGATCACTTTGTAAGATACGTAAATTAAGAATCACCATGTTGTAAAACTGAAATGAATATATTTTATGCCACCTATACTGCACAAATAGAAATAAATGCATAAAAGTTGATTCCATTTTAGACAAGAAAAATTTGATAACTCTTTCTACTGTTTCACCTTTTCCAACAACCATGTATTACTAGTAGAATGAAAAAAAACACCATGTTGCTGCACAATGAGAAATGAATTCCAAGATTTCATTAGAGTTGACCTATAATATTGTCAGAACATTCAACACAACCTCATCTTCATCAACAGGAGACTCATTCTGAGTTTATTCCAGGAATGAACACACAACTGGAATTTGAATTTAAATGTTATTAAATATAACTATAACATCATACACTTCAGTTTTTCCAAGACAAACTGTTAACCATGTATTTTTTCAAATCATACCATTAACGTTGTTGTTTTTTTAAACATTTTTATTGGGGAATTGGGGGGATGGGAACAGTTCTGGGGAATTGGGGGAAGGGGAACAGACAAGTTGCTGTCCTTTCGTTCTTCAGTCTAGTTGTGGAGGACGTTTCTTCACTGGCCCAAGTTGGCACCATCATTGCGCTCTTCCCAGGCGAGGCAGATCAGTTGCCGGCTTCTGGACAGCCGCTCACTGCAGCTGCTGGCTACACACGGTAGCCCATGGCAACCCACTGCCACAGGGGCTGCAGCCTACGCCGTTGCCGGCGACTCATGGCAGCCCAACTCCAGGCTGAGCTGTTGTTCAGCATCTTAGCTGTGGAGGGCAGTGTCACTGGCCCTCATATGTGGGATCCGAACTAGGGCCCTCTGGCATACCAAGCCAGTTCTTAACCATCACGCCACTCGGCCGGCCCAGCATTAACTTTTGAACTCCCGTATTTCATATCAATTATTAATGAGCAAAAACAACACTGAAGTCATTGCCAAGAGTACAAAACGAGAAGCCACAGACTGGGAAAGAATAATTACAAAAGAAATACCTGCAGGGCTGGCTGAGCAGCTCATTGGTTAAGAGTTGCCTTGGGAGCACAAGCCCTGAGAAGCAGGGCCGCCGGTTCAGACCCCACATGGGCCAGTGACACTGCGCCCTCTACAGCTAAGATGGTGAACCACAGCTCGACCTGGAGCTGGGCTGCCATGAATCGCCGGGGACGGCATAAGCTACAGTGGGGCAGCAATGGGTTGCCATGAGCTATTGTGAGGGGCTGGAAGCCAGTGTGAGCAGCCACGAGCTGCCGTGAGCAGCTGGCAACTGGCCGGCGACCAATCTGCCTCACCCCGGAAGAGCGTAATGATACCAACATGGGCCACTGAAGGGACGTCCTCCACAACTAGTCTGAAGAACAAAAGGAAAGCAACTTGTATGTTCCCTTTCCCTGATTCCCCAACGCTGTTCCCTCCCCCAATTCCCCAATAAAATCTTTAAAAATAAAAAAGGAAGGGGCCCAGCTGAGTGCAGCATTGGTTAAGAGTTTGCTTCATACACCAGCTCTGAGCAGCAGGGCCTGGGTTCAGATCCCACATGAGGGCCAGTGACGCTGAGCCCTCTACAGCTAAGATGGTGAACAACACTCGACTTGGAGCTGGGCTGCCATGAGTTGCCGGCGACGGCGTAGGCTGCAGTGAGGCTGGCCGGCAGCTGGCGTGCGCTTTCGTGAGCTGCTGTGAGCAGCCGGCCATATTCAATGGCCGGCGAGTGACTGCCTCACCTGGAAAGAGAACAATAATACCAACGTGGGCCAGTGAAGCGACGTCCTCCACAACTAGACTGAAGAACTAAAGGACAGCAACTTGTCTGTTCCCCTTATGGATTCCCCAGCGCTGTTCCCCTCCCTTAATTCCTCAATAAAATCTTTTTAAAAAATAAGAAAAAAAAGAAATACCTGTAAAAGTCTATTATGCAAAACACACAAAGTCTTCAAACTGATTGATGAAAAAACTGCCAACCTCATTAAAACATGGGCCAAAGCCCTAAACAGACACCACACAAGAGAGATACAGAAGACAAAATATATAAAAAGATGCTCCACATCATGTCAGCAAGGAAATGCACATGAAAACGAGAATGAAACACACAGCAAATTTAAAAAATACCACACACGTATTAGGAGGGGCCAGAACCCAGAACCCAGACATCAAGTGCTGGTGAGGATGTGGAGCAGCAGGAACTCGCAATTTCTGCCGGTGGGAACGTAAAATGCTGCAGCCCTGGGCCAGCCAAGTGACTCAGTTGGTTAAGAGCTCGCTCAAGAGTTTGAGCTCTGAGCAACAGCGGTTCGATTCCTGGCCGAGCTGAGCAGCTGCTGAGCTGTCAATAAGTGGCAGGATGGCTCAGCTTAAAAAAAAAAAAAAATGCTGCAGACACTTGGGTACAGTTTGGTGGTTCTTACACATCCTCCCATCATACGATCAAGCAATTGTGTTTAAATAGTTACCCAAAGACTTGAAACCATGTATCCACCCAATAATCCACACAGGCATGTTCACAGCAGCTTTATTCATAATTTCCAAAACTAGGAAGCAACCAAGATATAGTCAAGAAAAGAATGGATGAGTAGACTGTGGTGCACACAGACAATGGAATATTATTCAGTGCTATAGAGAAAGAAGCTATCAAGCCATGAGAAGACGTGGAGAAAACCTAGATGCCTATTAAGTGAAAGAAGCCAATCTGAAAAAGGCACATACTGTATGATTCCAGCTATGACATTCCAGAAAAGGCAAAATGATGGAGACAGTAAAAAGATCACTGCTGACCGGAGTTGAGGGGAGGGAGAGATGGACAGACGGAGCACAGAGAATATTCAGGGCTGTGACCCTACTGTGTATGACACGTTATCATAAATGTGTCCACATCCACAGAATGCACAGCCCCTCAGTGAACCCCAAGAAGTATGAACTCTGGGTGACAATTATATGTCAATGTAGCTTCATCCATGTAACTAATGTACCTCTGGGGGTACAAGTGATGTGGCCAAGGGCAAGGCTGTGCATGTGGGAGAGGCATGTGGGAATTCTCTGTAACTTCTAGTCCATTTCGCTGTGACATAAAAGTCTTCTTAACATAAAAGTCATCCTCAGGCTCCTGCTTCTCCTAAATATCTAATCTCAGGTCCACATGTCTTTCCAGAAGTTTGACATGCTCTTACGAGAACATAAATGTCTCCATCCGCAGTTAAAAAAAAATACACAGTACCAACTCACACGAACTAGGAGGAGCAGTATCAAAGAAACACAAAATATCAAGTGTTGGCAAAAATGTGGAGAAATTGGACCGTTATGAACTCTTGGATGATATCACAATTTGTGCAAACAGTATGAAAAACAATATGAAGGTCTCTCAAAAACTAAAATACAGAATTGTGCTATGATGCAGCCTTCCCACTTCTAGGTACATTTCCAAGAAACTTCAAAGGAGGCTCTGCAAGAGCCACGTGCACACCATGCACACTGTAGCATTATCCACAAAACCTGTAATGGGTAGCAGCAGCCCAAATGGCCATCAACAGATGAACAGGGGAAGAAAATGTAACATATACATACAACGGAATATTATTCGGCCTTGAAGTAGAAACAGATCCTCTCACCTGATACAAACACAGAAAAACCTTGAGGACTTTTAGGTAAAGCTAAAGAGTCACAAAACAGATACTATATGAGTCCACTTCTGTGAGTCGCCTAATGCAGTCCTCCTCATAGAACAAAAAGAAGGGTAGTAGCCATGGGCTTGTGTTGAAGGGAGATGAGGAAGTGGTTGTTTAATGAGTACTCGGTGAGTTTTCAAGATTGAAATTTCCAGAGGTCAGTTGCCAACAATGTAAATATCCTTAACACAGGTGGACTGGAAAGTTAGAGAGGGTAGACTTCTAGTCATGTTTTTACCAAAATTGAAAATGAAAAATGATATCTAAAAATCATAGTTATAAAATATTTCAGAAATTATTTTGAATTCAAAATTTGGTTCTCTCACAAACAGAATATGAAATCATCTCTAAACAGATGTTATATTAAGCCTATTACCACTACTTAACTGCACAGGATAAGAAAAGCACTCACCCCATTAACTAAGAAAAGACATAAACAATGAGAGTTATGCACAAAGTTGGAGTAAAATGATACAAACATGCACATACTTTTAATGGCAATAGACATACGCCTCATTCATATGTGACTCAAACCCCACATTGTCTTAAGTGTACTGAGCTGAAAACTGGCATTCATATTCATATATACAAGTAAAAACTAAAAATGCAAGTAACTAATTTTGGAGAAACTACCATAAAAAGAAAAAACATCATTATGGAATTGCAAAATGAGAATAGGTGGCAATGTATCCCCAGAATGCTGAACACTACACAGGTGTACATTGAGGATCCTTCTGTAGAACACGGATGCCACTGTCAGTGTGGTCCCATGAAGAGCAAGCATTCTCAATCATCAGAACACATGTTGTAGGAAAGGAAAATTTCCCAAACAATGCATTAGAATCATCCATAAATAGCTCTAAGGAATATTTCAATAAATAACCATTTAAAACACATGGAAGAAATTTCTGTTATTAATATATTTTGCTATTCTAATACAAATGTATGGGCTATAATCATCATCCAGAGGGAAATAAAAAGCCCTCACTGCTAAACAAAAGTGCAGGAAGTTCTTAAACATCAGAGAATCAGATATCTATAAAATCAGTGTTTGAAATTAAAGTACAACATGATTGAGAGGCATGCTGATGAATCTCACGATTATTTTTTGCCTGAAGTAAACTGAAACTGAGGATGTAAATAGTTTCCGAAATATGGGAACCTAATAATTCTACAACTAACTTCTTACCAATGGATTTCATTCGAGCAGGGAGTATCAGCACTTCTGAATCTAAAACCACTAATCTGACAAAATCTAATCAAAAATGGAAAACAAAGAAGGCCCAGGCAGATTTGGACTGAACAAGACAGAATTATAACACGACAGTCACTAAGAAATCAGGTAACAAGGGAGAACTTCCTATACAGTGGGCAGTATTCTAAGCTCCCCTATGGCATTAATTCATTTAAGAATTCTGTAAGGTAAACAGGTACATTAAACTATTCTTACATGCAGGAATTGGGAGTAGACGCTCGAAATTTCTAATGTTAGTTCATACAAAGCAAAAGGACATTTGGAGTGAAACTGAGATTGAGGGTTTCTGACTTTAGGGAGGTGCCTGGGGCTGAGATGAAATTACTGAATCTGAATTTTGTAGGGTCATGGTTGAAGCTTCCTTAGGATTAGAAATTATAAAGCAGAAAATGTGTGATATCTGTCCCCAGTGCCCCTGGGATTTCTGCTCCAAATTCCAGGACCTCCAGCACTTCCTTCACAAACTCCTTAAAAGACGCAAGGCCAGAATTTTTTAAATGGCCTCAGGGAGAAAACCTCAGCAGCATGCACAGATTTTCCCGGGACTCTGAGGCAATGCAACAGTAGCCAGCTCATGACGACCCCCACAGTCCAGTGGGAGGACATCAGTCCTCACTGCAATGTGACCCAGATCACTGAGCGGGACAGTTTCTACAGGATGTGACAGCAAGGATGTATCAGACAGGACAGTCTCTCTGTGACAGCAACAGGAAGAAACCTGGGCTTCTCACATCCTTTCCCCTGAAGCAGCGCTTCCTAAACCACATCTTAAGGTCTGGCTTCCTCAGAGACCTTTGACCCTCTCACCTGTGTCATCTGCTCCTTCATTCCCACCTACCTGGGAGGATGGATACTGTCTTTTTTTGCTTCACATCCCAGGCCTCCTTCATTCTCTCCAAAAAGGTAACCAGGTCTGGCTTAGAGACAGCAACACCTGTTTATTAGTCAAAGGAACATGAATTTTGATGGAGATTCTCCAGTTTCCAATCCACTATATGTGCTCAGGTGAAAAGAAAGGACATTGCAGAAAATTAGAATATTCTAGAAATGCATTCCCCCAAAACAGTTAACTGACAGCACCTTTACTCTACTAGACAACATGAAACGTTTTCAGATCCTGAGTTCCACTTCAAGGACATCATGAAGACTTTTTTTTTTTTTTTTAAGATCTTTTTTATTGGGGTATTGGGGGGAAGGGAACAGTGCTGGGGAATTGGTGAGGGGAACAGACAAGTTGCTGTCGTTTGAAGACTTCTTTTCTACACCAGCAAACCCCCAGTTGGTACTCAGAGCTGGGATCTGAAACTCGACCACAGAGCAGAAGCTCCCAGGAGATGCTGTACTGATGAAGGAAACACAACCCTGTGGTGGGGTAGGAGTTTTGGAAGGAAGTCAGCCTCACCCAGGGAGCGCAGGTTCCTGTAGTTCTCCAGCATCACGTCCATGTACAGTTTCCGCTCAGCTGGGTGCAGACATTCCCACTCCTCCTGAGAGATATCTATAGCCACATCCCTGAATGTCAACAATCCCTGAAACAAAAGTCACATTTACCACGTGGCTACGGACTAGGTCATAACAAGATTCAATATGAAAACAGTTAAAAGAACTGGTTTTGACCTAGGAGAGTGTCCGGAATGGAACACTAAGGCCACTGACAGTAATATTCTCCAGTGTGTTTTCTAACTCTGAGAAAGGAGGGTGACATATGACCCACAAACCACTGTAGAGAGAAACACATCTTTTTTTTTAAAAGATAGATTTAAATTCAGGCATCAACAAAGGCATATGGCTTTTTATGTGTTATATTTGTATCATACAATATACATTAGGTACATGTCTTGGCTAGAAATATCATGGTGAGTTAAAAATGCAAAGTACTTCTCAAATTTTAACGTGGAGAACAAGGAGCTAGTCTGTTATGAAACTGCAGATTCCAACTCAGGCTGGGGCCTGAGTTTTCACATTTTACAAACTCACTTTTAATTAGTGACATTAATATCTCTGGTCTGCGAGTAACACTGTTCCATAGCACAGAGGAAGAAAACAGGCAAAAATTCATATATTACTTTGAACTGACAGATTTTTATGGAATTTACACTGCTCACAGAAGCATAGCAACACAATCCTTTTTGAAAATGACTGTATACTACAGAGCGTTTTGTTTTTTACATATTAATTCATAATGCACACATCTTGTAATACACATGACCCATAAACTGAAAACAATATCACACATCCTCTTGTATGGGAATATTTTCTGATGCATCCATTAAATGGTAGAGCTTGGGTTTTATTCCAAACTTTCTCTGGAATGTTTAAAAAAAAAACAGGAACCAATACGCACAGACAACTCTCATGAACCTACATGGCTATATCTGTAACTGAGAAAAAGAGAAACAACTTAAGCAAGTAAGCAGAAAGAATTGATCAAATAGTGTTAAGATTTTATGGACACAGACACACAGACTGACATACGGGAACTGTGTGCACATTAAACATGACAGAAAAGGAAATTTTCACGTCACTGAAATCACAATTATTTTCAATTCTGTACATCACATAAATGTCTTTTGGATGATACTCTGTATTTTATAAATACAACAGGGGGAAGACTACACAGTAACGTAAGTTATTGCTGCTGTTTCTTTGAAAAAATTTGCATGTCATTTGTCCTGATGAATACATTACAAATTTACCACACTTCAAAACTTTAATAATGTGATTGCTGTAAACTTTCTTAAAAACACTAACAGTGATGATGTAGAAAATGTCTGTGACATGAGTGTGGAATATAATGAAAATTTACAGGAAGAAGGCCTGACTCATTAAAGCCTCCATGCCAAAAGCCAATTATCTCTAGTACAGAAAGCTGAGGACTTTCATTAATCAAAGCAGAGAAACTAAGAAGGGAGTTTCCAGATGAAATGTAATGATTTTTGCACATCTTTCTACAAATCCCTCCAGACTCTTATTAATGATAAAGAAAACAATGTTAACTTTATAGTGAAGACAGGACCTCAACCAGGTGCAAGTCAGGTGGAACAAGTGGGTATCAGCTGGCCGAGGTACACAGAAGGACACACTGTCACTGCTGTCATGTTACTGGAAAAATGAAGAACTAAGAAAATCATAATCTGAATCTGATAATAAAAATATTAGTTTTATACAAATCTGAACACACATATAGCTCCTGTGTTCTGTAACTCTAATAGGGTATTTAAACAACAAATCAGTATCACCAATCTAGTGAGCAAGACAGTTCCAATAATTCTTTTTTTGTCTAACATTCCAAGCCATTCTGAGCAGAGGCCATCCTGGGTCCTGGTGCACATTCTTACCCCCGTTCTACAGTCATATGACGCTGTAGTCACAGGACACACACCTACACCTCCCTTCTTTAGGACACCAGGCATCTGACCCTGCCCAATAGGGACCTTAGACACAACCCCCTTTCCAGGTGGATTTTGCCACTAGTTTAGGGTCAGTAACCACGGTGAGATTCCTCACGTCCTGAGGGAGCGGATGGACAGAATACAGAGAAGGCTCTGGGAGAAAGGCAGAGCGTTCTACAGAGGTGACCTTGACACTCATGAGAAGAAAAGGAAAAGTAAGTCGGTGAAATCGATCTCGCTAGGCAGAGATGTCAGAAGTAGAGAATTAAAGGTGGCAGGTTCTAAACCCACAGATTTTAGGAGAAAAAGCAGACACAGCCTGTGACCCGGGTCGGAACACTTACCTGAGAAGCAGCCATTTCGTCCTCGTCGTCCTCCTGCTCTGGGTTGTTTCCTCAGGTGAAGTTCTGGGGAGAAATCACATCTGCATCTTGAGGATGTGCCCACCCTTAAGGGCTTCAGCTCAGGCCCTTCATCTACTTCCTCCAAACTGACAGGCAGAAGGACCTTGAAATGCTGAGAAGATCGCCCGTTTCTGACTTTTGTCACTGGACAGTCAGGGACAAGAAGCTCCTAAGTGAAGACAGAACTGTCAGTTTTCTCCTTCCTGATTCACATGCTCTCCCCTTTCATAGATGTCCACAAATTCCTACAGCAATGAGAACGTGGGATGCTCTCCTGCCCCCCACACATGCAACAGAGCACTTCGTAACCTTCCCTTGAGCAAAGGTTTCTCTCAACAGTCAGAACTGTGTCTAGGAGCCCCCAGCTAACCCCTGGCCTCAGCTGAGAGTCACCTGAACACCTCATTAAAACAATGATGCTCCACCCAGACCACTTCTCCAACTCCCAGGGGGAGGGCACAGGTGATAACACTCTTTGAAATTCCCAAGTGACCTAGAAGGAACCCTTAGCTTCCTTCTAGGAAGCTAACCCTTAGCTTCCTACTGGGAAGCTAATCCTTAGGAACTTTTAGCTTCAATGAGCATGCAGGTCCCTGGGGGATCAGGGCCCACTTTAAGAGTTATGGTTCTGCAGGTCTGCAGGGGGCCCAGGAAATGGCATCTTTAAATCTCCTGGGGGTACTGACTTGCTCCCCAGACCTGTTTCCTGTCACAGTGGGCTACAGATCTCAGACTCCATCTCTGACTCTGCACTCCTGACAGCTCTGGGGAACTTCTAGAAGGGCTGGCTCCCCGGGTGTATTTCCTTCCTGTTTTCCAGGAGATCACAGAGAATTAGTTAAAAACCATAAAATAATAAACACACATTTTGGTGCTGAAAACTTGTAAGCAAGAGTTAGCTATGGAAATACACTGATCCAATTATTTCACAGTGAATAGACTGGCTCCGTGGGAACTGAGTTTCAGGTCTGTCCAGTCCGTCCTTCCACATATTCAGAGAATGAACAAGTGGGACTTGAGGGGACAGCTACTTGGTAGCTCCCAGCTCACTAATTTAACAAAGCATGTAAACTGAAAACAAAAGCTGCTAAATATCAAAATAACTCACCACATTAGGTTCTCAAGCGGACATCCTCACCAAATGCACACTGAAGTGGCCTAATATTATTAATAAGTACCAATGGTGTTTCCACATGATAAAGAGTAGAAAGAATGCAGGGCTTCTCATCTAAACTAGACACAATGTTATTAGAAGAGAAATCAATTCAAGATGTTCTTTACCGTAAGTATTTCTAGGATCAAAATTTTTTCAAAATTGAGACTTCATATTTAGAAAATAATAAGAGCTGGTAATGAGATATCACCAAAGCTTATTTCAGAAGTTAATGACTAGTTATAAAAAAAGCAGAAATTCAGAATAAGATTTATCTTGATTTGCTTTTTATAAAAACAATGCATCAGGGCCAGCCCAGTGGCTTAGTGAGTTACGAGTTTGGTTAAGAGCGCAAGCTCTAAGCAATAGGGTTGCTGGTTTGATTCCCACATGGGCAAGCGAGCTGTGCCCAAGCTGAGCTACTGCTGAGCTGCCAACAGGTGGCAGGATGGCTCAGCTGGTGAGAGCACGAGCGCCTAACAACAAGACTGCCTGTTCGAGATGGTGGGCTATGCCCGTCTGCAACTAAAGACTGAACTTGGCACCTTGAGCTGAGCTGCCGTTCAGATGGCTCAGTGGATAGAGCGCCTGCTCTTAACAACAAGGCTGCTGGTTAGACTCCAGCATGGGATGGTGGCTATGCTCACCCGCAAGTAAGATTGAACACAGAACCTTGAGCTTAGAGGGTACACACCGCCGTCTGGAAACAGATGACAACTGGCGCCCTCAACAACTAAAACTGAAGAACAACTTGGCTGGTCCCTTCCCCAATTCCCCAACACTGTTCCCCTCCCCAATTAAAAATAAATAAATACAATAAAAACAATGAATCAAATGTAAAAGAGGGACACAAAAAAGTAAACTCAATGTATATATAAAAAAAAAAAGAGACACAATGGTTTTACTATTTCTTGAGAAAGCATCCTGTGTTGACAGACTCAGTCATTTCGGGTCCCAGGTCACATCCCTCATGCCATCCCAGGAAAAAAGGGACCCATACTGACTGACACAGGTCTCTGTCCTCTGGCTGCATGAGGGTTGCACATGGAAGCCATTGGGTGATGAAATTAATTATTAAGCACACAAGCACTAGAAACTGGAGTTTTGTAATTCTCATTCTCATCTGTGTGACTGAAAGTGCAGCACGTGTTAAATTAAAGCGATTATAAAGCAACAATCAATATATCATGCCTTGATCACCCACATTCCACCAGCTCCGAGTACCAAGTAGGGGCACCCCTTCTTCCTCTGCTACTGTGTACTCCTGTGTGTCCCTCTCCACCCAGATTCTCTCCACTACTGTCCTCTCCCCTTCCCCGATTTCTCCCCTTCCCTCCGTTCCCTTCTCTGCACCTTTTCTGTGAAACTCTTGAAAGCGTTCACCTTCAGTTGCTCTTTCTCCCTGATCTGTCTGATTGCTCCCCATCTCCACATATTTCTGCCTCTTTCTCCCCGTCCCTGTGCACCTCCTCTTCCCTGGTGACACTGTCTTTCCTCTTACACCCCTGTGCCCCGACTCACTGACACCCCCAGCTTAGCTCAGTGCAGTTTCTCCCTCTGCTGTCACCCCTCTCCCCTCCTTTCTGTTCCTGCACTCGGCTCCCCCAGCTCTTCTCCTAACCCCTCTCTCCGTCTGAAATTCCCTGTCCTTTGTTGCCCCCCACTTCCGCTAACCAGGGGTCCCTCTCCCTTTTGGCTCCCCTTCATCTGTCTCGAACTCTCCCTTTCCTCTATATTTCTCCATTTGCTTTCTCCTCCGGCTGCTTCCCCGAGTTAACCGTCGCTTTACAAGTCCCGCCCACAGCCTCTGTTTTCCCGCCTTTACGAGTCCCTCCCACATCCTCTGTTTTCCCGCCTCTTTACGGACCCCGCGCTGATCTTCCTGCCCTCTCACCTGTCTATTCCTCTCATTCTGTCTCCTTCTCGGGACCCCCTCACACCCCCGTTCTGCCGATTTCCTGGCCTGCCTGCCCTTCACAGTCACCGCTTACACAAAGACCCTCCCCGCGTGAGGGGGTGACCTGGTGACACGCCGCGGTGTTCCCTCCTAAATTCCACCCCCCTGAAAAGTGTGCTCTTCCTGGGATTCGGGACTCTTATTAAACCGGGACGAGGGGGACTCCAGGCGGCGGGGAGGGTCTGCAGAGCCCCAGGCAGGGAGAAGGCCGGGCTCCCAGGCCGCGGGGCGAGGCTGGGGGAGGGGCGCCAACGACTGGACTCCGTCTCCCGAGTCCGTCTCCCAGGACTTCACACCGCGCGGCGGAGCGCTGCCCGGTGGGGGGTTTTAAGCAGGAAAACAACGCGGCAGGCGGGGTCTAGTGGCCCGAAGGCGGAAAGACCACAGGGGAACGGCCTCAGTTTACCCGGAAACCCCCGCGGACCCTCCACCCGGCAGCGAAGCGGCCTGGGATCGGGACGTCTCCCCAGGACGCCGGACTCACCGCTGTAGGGGGCGCGGGTGCGGGGACTTCAACGTGGTCCTGACCCCCAGGCGTCACGAGTGCAGGACGGTGAACTGAGCCGCTCAGGTTGAAACCACAAAAAAATGAAAGTCACGGTCGCCAACCAGACCTTCTCTCTGCCTTGGGGCTTCCGGGTCTGCAAGAAACTCCGCCCGGATGCTGCCAGAAAACGTGGGCCGCAGGCGGGGCCTGTGAGGAGCGCTGAGGTCCTGGGCGGGGCAGGAATATTTGGCCGGAGTGGGCGGGCCCTGCAGGAGGGAGGGAGGGACCCAGGGGAAGGAGTGGGGCCACAGCTTGGGTGGGGCGGGGCTCTCCGACTCGCTAGCAATGGTTATGATTGTTGTTCATTACGTTTATTTTAGGTAAGATCTTAAGCACTACTTAATATTTTTAAATTTTCTCTTATATGTATTTTTACTGATGTTTAGTAATTATGCTTGGTGTAATGTGTAGCCCAGTTCATTATATTTTAAGATCTCCCTGGTATGAATTTCAGATGATTCGTGAAGATTCATCCTGCATAAAGACCTTCCAAATTCATTATACTTGTAAAGCTTTTCTCTAATATGTATAACTTTATATTTGGTTACTAACGAAGTGTGGATCAAAACTTTCCCATCTAGGGCCAGCCAAGTGGCGCGATGGTTAAGAACTGGATTGGGACGCCAGAGGGCCCCGGTTCGGATCCCACATATGAGGGCCAGTGACACTGCCCTCTACAGTTAAGATGCTGAATAACAACAGCTCAACCTGGAGCTGGGCTGCCATGAGTCGCCGGCGAC